GCATGGAAGTGGGAGCGCGCTCTGAACGGAGCGTGTCCAGTAATGTGTTGCGGATGATGTGATTATACGGTGTAATTCCGACGAGGTGTAGGCGGATCGTTTGACGTACAATTCCCGCTGCTTCTGGTTCGATGAAACATAACGGCGTTGGCTAGTCGTGCCCGTACATAGAGCACGCTACGATACCAGTTGTAATAGATGTTGCCAGTTCTGATGCGTCAAGTTTCTGGAAGTGAGCACAAGCTGACCAGAGGCGCTCGCCTTCGCACACACATCGCCCAAGCAACGTATTCAAATGTGCATCTTGAAGCGACTTCGCGCATAGCGCCGTGTGTGATGTACAACGTGATGCATAATGGTTCGCCACGCATGATGATTTGATGCCTGTAGCACGAACGCGTATTTTGTTCGATCGGCCTTGGGCCCATCCCGCCATCGTTCCTGGGTCGTGGACGGACGGCCTCCTGGAGGCCTCTTGAGGTCTCGGGAGAAAGGCGTTGTAAGGGGGCCTCGTGGGGGACTCCTGAGGTATCCTGGCTGTTTCTTGTGGGCCAGTGGGGCCTCTTGGGTCTTCGAGTTGATGTTGGATCTTCGAAGCTACGGCCTCCACGCCATGCCCTCACGGGCATTGGCGGGCTCCCCAGCGGAGCGCGCACGACTCGGGCGTTCATTCTTCCGTCTTGTGGGGCCTCTTGGGGGCTTGCTGGTTGTCTCGTGGGCTATCTTATGGGGGAAGGCTCTTCGGCCCCCTTCGAGTTTCAAGCCAAGGAGGAGCCTGGCAGATAGGTATGTTCTCGCCATTGGTGCCCCGACTCTCTCGGTTCGTAAGCTCGGCAGTGCCAGGTTGCAGTTCAATTCGTGGCCGCTCTGCTTCCTTGCGTTGCTCCTGTCTGTGCACTTCTGTCTGAAGTGTAAACGTGACTGTCCTCGTGCTCTTGCCAGGCACATCCCACGCAACGTCATCATAGTCCCTCTCCCTGTCCACCGCCCTGGTCCTTGCTCCTCCTCCATCCCTTCCTCCTCTCGAGAGAGCCACTCACGATCCTTCGCGGCCACAAGTCTCCAGGATCCCCAAATAAGGGCACAACATGGGCCCAAGTCCAGGGTCTCGATGCTCGGAGGCGGAGGCCTCGGAAGTCTCCAAAACAGCCACGGCCGCCCACAAGCATTTGACCCCCGCCATCACGAACCTCAGTCCCCATCGTCCCCATCCCTCCTCCTCGTCCCTCCTCCTCAATCCTCCTCCTCGTCCTCCTCGTCCTCCTGTCTCCCCCGCCTACTCCCCCCTCCCCCTCCTCCTCCCTCCCCCCCATTCGCCTCCTCATCCTCCTCCTGCTCCCCCTCCTCTCCCTCCTCCCCCTCCTCCATCCCTCTTGCTTGTGAACAAGTTTTCCCTGTCGCACCCCGAGGCCGGCCGAAAGGGCGGGCCGGGCGTTTGGCTTGATTTTTGCACCTTTTATGATGTTAAACTTAAAACTTTGCAGCAGTTTCACGGATGGAGGGCGGGCCGTTTTCAAATGGTGATTCTCGTTGTAGCGCCGCGCACACTAGCTTTAAAGGTTTGTATCTGTTGTTTTACAGATGTAGGGCGGGTCGTTTTCAGAATGTGGTTCTCGCCTTAGCGCCGCGCGCATTCGTATTAACCATGCAAGAGTTTCACGGATGGAGGGCCGTTCGTTTTCAAACAGTTTTTTCTCGCTTTGGCGTTGCGCACAGTCGCCCTATCAGTTTGCAACAGGTTCAAGGATTTTCATGTCTAATGTCCCAGACTTTTCGTGTTGGTACGATGTCGGAATGTCAAGGCGCAACAGTCAAGTTGATGCGCGGTGTTGAAGTCCCAGGAGGGTTGTTCTGGCACGACTCAGGGTCGTCAAGACCTCAGCAGTAACAGTGATTCGGAGCGTTGCTATCTCAGGAATTGTGTTTTGGCACGGCTCCGGATTTGCAAATGATTGTCTTCCAACGGGGCCTATCCCTCAATGAAAATGAGTTTGTGTAGGGGCCCATGAAGAGGGATTTGGGAGGGAGGGTTTATTGCAACACAGTTGATGAGTCCAGAGTTTACGTTGGTTTTCCTCCTCCTCCTCCTCCTCCTCCCCCTTCTCCTCCTCCTCTTCCTCCTCCTCCTCCTCCTGCTCTTACTCCTCCTCCTCCTCCTCCTCCTCCTCCTCCTCCTCCTCCTCCTCCCTCTTTCTGTCTCCTGACCCGCCTACCTCTCGGCTTCTGCCCGCTCGCTCTCTTTCTGTCTCCTCCTCCTCCTCCTCCTCCTCCTCCTCCGCCTCCTCCTCTCGCCCTCCTCCTGTCTCCTCCTGTCTCCTCCCCCTCCTCCTCCTCCTCCTCCTCCTCCTCCTCCTCCTCCTCCTCCTCCTCCTCCTCCTCCTCCTCCTCCTCTCGCCCTCTTCCTGTCTCCGCCTCCCCCTCCCTCGCCGCACATCCCCCCCCCCCGGGGCGAGACCCCGTCGGCACCCTGCCGGCCCGGCGCTCGGCCCGCCGGCCCCAGTCGCTCTCCACGCTGAAGCAGGAAGAGGCGGCGCCGGGCGGCCGGACGACGACGGGTGCGGGGGGAGCAGGAGGAGGAGGAGGAGGAGGAGGAGGAGGAGGAGGAGGAGGGGAGGAGGGGGGGGGGGAGGAGGAGGAGGAGGAGGAGGAGGAGGGGGAGGAGGAGGGAGGAGGGAGGATTAGGAGGAAGAGCAGGAGGAGGAGGAGGGAGGATTAGGAGGAGGTAAGGTAAGGTAAGGTAAGGCTCCGCTGAGACCGAGGCTCCGACGGTCTTGGGAGAAACTTGGGGTATCCCCCTCACTGCGAGAACTCGGCACTCCTCGGCAGGAGGGCGCCAGCGACGGCGCCTCTCGGCGGACGTCGGCGCACGGCCGTGCACTCTCCCTGACTGCTGCTGCTCAAACGCTCTGCTTTGGGGAAAACAACGCTTGACCCTCGAGCTCGAGTTGCCAGCAGTCCTGGGACCAGAAAAAACAGTAGCATCAACAGTACGAAAGAGCAAGACGAGGAGCTGGGACAGAAGGCTGCATGGCACACAATTATCTAAATACTTGCGAAACCTGCTTGGGATCATGGTAGTACGTCGGAGAGCAATCAAATAATGTATTGATAGCATCAAGATGATGCTCTTCCAGCATCTCTCTGAACATGTGTCCGTTTGTGTTCTCTATGTCCGCATTGCATAAGCCGATAGAGCTGCTGTTGACTGACCCGACTCGTGCATTCGCGTCCAGTGAAATGATGGGCACTGTACGAGCAGGTAGCGCACTCAGCAGTTCACTCATATGCTGCCAAAACTTATCACATACTTTGTGCGCTGCAGCCCGACCACGGCCCCCTGGAGGTTCCACAGGAGCGTACCCGACAATCGCAGTGACATCAGACATCTCCGTCTTAAAACGCACGGCACCGAGGCGCCCTGCCATATCTCCAGGAAAACTCCAGATACGTCGTACATGTCTAGCAGAAAAGAACTTGTCCGAAACCAGCAGCGCGCATCCCGTCGGACGACCTGCGACTCCAGCGCTGCGACCCCACTGGAAGCGTAAGAAGCGACCAAGGCGATCCTGTGCGCATGGAACGTCCGTCGGGATTTGAGTGCCTGAGATGCCAACAATCCCACAGCTCCGAAACTGCCTGGATACATCTTGCCATCGCCCCGCCTGCCTCAACGAAAGAGGGTTCCATGAGCAGCAGCGGATCCTCATGGCCGCCCGAGTCTAACACCTTGGGGGCGGTGTCATGGCAAGTCAAGGACGTGCCTGGGGGCGCACTTTGCCCCGCAAAATATCATGCCTGAGCCGTGGGGGCTGGATTAGGAGGAGGAGGAGGAGGAGGAGGAGGAGTCGGAGATTAGAGAATTGGCCGTTTTCGATTAGAGAATAGGCCGTTTTCGGTTCGCGAGAGGGCGTCGCGGCCGTCATTTTTGCGGGTCCAGGTCCGTCGGTTTCCGTCACAGGCCGTTTTCCATAAAGGGTGGTTTACTCAAGGGAGGTTTGTCCACCGCCAACTAAGGTCTTGTCGACTTTTCGTCGATCGACTTGTGGGGATCGAGTCAGACAAGTCCAGGTAAGTTTGGGTAGATCGAGATAGATCCAGGTGCATCCAGGTACATCGAGATAGATCCGGGCAGATCCAGGTACATCCTCCAGAGATCTCCAGGGAAACGTGCAGCAGTTCGCGGCCGCTCCAGCGCGAGTCGAAGGACGGCAGAAGTCGTTAAGCCTTTAACGAAAGTCATAAGGGCCGTGTCTGTCCTCGCAATTCCGTCTTCAGAGTGTTCTAGCCTGCGCTAGCGTCTGGTAGTCGACGAGAAAGCGCCGATCTCGCGTCGAGGAGCGTCGATTTGGCGTCGACTATAGCGTCGAGCAGCGTCGGTCAGCGCCGATTCGCACGAGCCAAGAAGATGTCACGGGAGGCTCCCATGAGGTGCCATCGAAGGGAGGGCGGGAGAGGGGGCGAGCAGGGCGACGAGGATCAGGAGGGGAGTTGATAGCCAGGCTCCTCCTCCTCGTCCTCCTTTCCCTTTTCCTCTCTCCTCCTCCTCCTCCTCCTGCCCTTCTCTCGTCGCCACGTCTGGACTCGTCTCGAAGTTTTGGTCACGGCGCGCCTCGGGAGAGTTCCCTGGAGCAGCGGTGTCGCTGTTGTTTTGATTCCCCCGTGGGAGGATGCGATGGCGGAGGAGGAGGAGGAAGCGCCGGGCGGCAGGATGACGACGGTTCGGTGGAGGAGGGGGGGGGACATGGCCGATTTTGATCCGATCGATCTGATTCGATGCCGATCTCGGCTGGCTCGATCTGATTCGAGCTCGATATCCCGTCGACTTGATGCGGGCCGACGTTTGTATGGTGCTGGTGTGCATCCTTGCGCGGCCAGTTCGAGTTGATTCCGACTCCGTGCCGATGCGGCCGGGTTCGATGCACGTTTCGAGGCGATCCGGTTTCCCGATTCGATGCTCACTGATGCCAGGGTGGGAGAGGTGCGAGCAGGCGGGCGAGGATCAGGTGGGGAACAATCACGCCGATACCGCTGCCCTTCCCTCGTCGCCACGACTGCATGCGCCCCGAGTTCTGGTCCGAGCGCGCCTCGACTTGTCCATAGCCACTGCCCAGGGAATCGATCTTCGGCGATCTCGGTAGGCAGTAGCATGTGGACATGCTCTGGCTCTGGGGGGCCAAGTGTATCCATATGCGCCGCCAGCCGAGGTCACCGAGGATCGATCCCCTGGCGGTGGTTGTGTGTGAACCCCCGCCTCGCACGGGGGGGAGGAGAGTGGAATGGGGGCGAGCAGGATGATGAGGGCATAGGACGAGGACCAGAGGAGGAACAGATAGTGATGCCGCCGCCCTTCATGCGTCGCCACGGCTGGATTCGCCCTGCGATTCTGCTTAGGAGGGCGCCACGGGAGACATCCGGGGAGCAGTAGTATCTGTACCTGTCGCCCCCCAGAGGAGGATGAGGAGGAGGGGAGGACAGCACACGACAGAGGACAAATGCGAGGCTGACGCGGAGGAGGAGGAGGAGCAATGAGCAATGAGCAAGATCTCTGCGCAATTCGACTTAGCGGTATGCGGGTTCACTGTGTAAAAGACGTGGGGGACCCCGGCTGGCGGGACCAGCACCGCCCCCGAGCGGTGGCGAACCCCCATGGCGCCACGCGGCACACTGGGGAGAAGTACCGAGGGGACCGACTCGTGGCTGGGTTCTCGGCCTTTGCTACTGCCGAGGAGGAGGAGGAGGAGGAGGAGGAGGAGGAGGAGGAGGAGAACGCAACAGCCCCCCGCCGCTGATGTCTACTTGACGTCCATGAGAAGGAGGAGGAGGAGGAGGAGGACCAGTGTAAACCGACGGCTCATCAACGATCTTGGAGTACACCCTCCCTCTACATTGCCTCTTCACAAGCCCCTACAGAGATGCATTGTCGCTGAGGGAATGGCCTCGCGGGGGGCAAGCGTCTGAAGACCTTGAAGCGTGCCAAACATTGTTCTCGGGACTCCAGCGCAGCGAATCAACATGACTATGGCGTCTTGATGATCCGGTGTCGTGCCAGTGTCTCAGTTTTGGGAGCTCAACACCGCGAACCATCGTAGATGTTGCGCCCCTACAGTCCTGCGTCCTTCCAAATCACCACTTCTGGTGCGCTGGCCACGGGAAGCCGCGAGGGTCCTGCAAGTGTTCATAGGACGAGCGTGCGCGGCGCCCTGGCGAGGGTCACATTTTGGGCAACGAGCCGATGCCAACACGTGGGGCTCTTGCTCGTTCTAAGCGACTCTGCGTGGCGCTGAGGCGAGAGCCACGTTTTCGAAACGACCCGCCCCCAATCTGTGAAATTCTCTGCAAGGTGTTTAAAGCGGATGCTCGGGACGCCCCCAAACCGTGAAACTCTTGCAGATGTTTAAACGAATGTGCTCGCCGCCAAGGCGAGAGCAGCATTTTGAACACAAGCCGCCCTACATTTGCGAAACAGTTGAGAATATTTTGACAGAATGTGCGCGTCGCTGAGGCGAGAGCCGCATTTTGAAAACCACCCGCCCTCCATTTGTGAAAGTGCTGCCACTGTTTAAGCTTCAGGGTCACAGGGTAGGGATGTCTCAGGCGAGACGCCCGGCCCGCCCTTTCGACTGGCCCCAACAGGGAGGAGTTGCATAAAAGGAAAAGGAACGAAGGAGGAGGAGAACGCAACAGCCCCGCTGCTGATGTTCGACTTACGTCAGAAAGCGGAGGGGAAGGAGGAGGAGGGGGAGGGAGAAGGGTTGGTTGTTTCCTGAGTCACCAGTGCACGCATCCGAAAGGCGTAAGACTTTGAGGAAGAGGAAGAGTAGGAGGCAAGTGGAGATGGAGTAATGAGAAAGGCAAGGGAGGATGATAATGGCGAAGACCGAGTGGCTTCAGCCTTAGTGTACAGATACCAGTATTGCAGAGGGCTACTTTTTGATAAAAGCCCTCATGTGCAATACTTGCATGTTTTACAGCCGTTTCTTGCAATGTATTATGTGTTATGTGGTGCAGCTCGTGTACGGTAAAGGCGTCAGATGAGAAGTACTATGCCTGGTGAATCTCGCTTGTTAAACTAGTAAGAAGGCCATCCACTTGCTCTCTGGCGTGACACTCTGAAGGAGCGGCGCTCCAGGCTTCTTGTGATGGCCAGACGTGTAGTGTTTTCGCTTTCGCTATCCAATTCGGCAGTGGTGACGCTCATCGCCACGCTTTTGGTCCCCAGCGTTCTGCGACACGGGATATAGCTGCAGGACCACGAGCTCTATTTGTCGACACTTTTTGCCTCGACATGCTCAGCAGATCGGGCCTTCACGGAGCGGCGTGCGCGGTGTCCTGAAAGATGCTTGCCGGGCAATCCCGCGCAGCCGGGCAACACGGCGTGCCTCTCATCACGAGCTTGGCCGCGTGCAGCTGATCGGGTTGCTCTCGCGCTTTTCCCGGCGTTGCCGCGTCGCCCGCGGCGGAGGGAGCGTTCGGGAAGGAGGTGGCGGAACAGTTTCTTGGACGTGTAACGCTCGACGCTCGACGTTG